ACTATTTTTTACAAAGTGGCAAACTCAAATAAAAGTCAATTATTGAAGACTTCACTTTAATTAACTGATAAATTAATTCAAACTGCACACAATTAGACACATTGACACAGCAATTGAAATAACTTATTATAGGATGACTTAGTCTATTTTTCATCCTAAAAATCAATCTATAAACTGATCCATAGCATGGTATATTGGCTTGTTTTCAAAGTAGGCTATGTGTCTTTTAATGTTTACTATATATAAAAAAAGACAAATTAATTAATATTAGCATTACCAAGTATAAAATTTAGAAAAAACTCATTACAAATTTTATGCTGATATTGGTTGCAACATTATCATTTTTTATAAAATTTAACATTTTAATTTTATATTTAAAAATTATCTAAAATTTGTATTACTTATTTCAGATTTTTGACTTACAGCTATCATTATGAATTCTGACTAATGATGTTAAAATTATCTTGTCAAAAAAGATCTAATAGGTCTTGGATCATCTTATCATCCAACAATAATTCATTTTCAATAATTGTATCAATGTATCTTATTGTATGCAGCTTGGATTGATTGATATAAATAATTAAAATGAAGTCTTTGATAATTTATTATGAAAAATGCATTTTTGTTTGAGTTTGTTATTTTGTAAAATAATTATATAATAAATTAATATCATGTGATCGGTACATGTCCATAAAGCAAAATACCATGTAATTAGTACATATCTATAGACTATCTGCCCATCTTCTACTTGAGTAACCAGTAATACTAGCGAACAGCATTGGTATTTTGGTTCCTTCTCAATCGGATACATCATATGACCTATGAACGGCTTAGTCGATAAGAGGCAGTTAGATTTGGCAAGTAGATAGTTTATGATCATAGGTATTATTATAATAACAGTAGGATCTTTATTATTAGAGGACGAATTTTATTTGAATCACAAACACTCTCTATTTTCTTCATAGGGTTCGAAGCTTTTATTATATACTTTCATTTATATAGGGCATGTTATACATTGTATTTGTGTTATATTACTTATACTAATTATATTGATAATAATGTCTTTATTACTGATACTGATTATACTCTCTATACTAATTATAATAATTATACACTATATTCCACTGATACCCATTATCTGCCCAATATATAGTATACTGCAGATACAGTATATACTGCATTTACTGTTGGTAAACCTATTTCAGATATATGATCTACATACTTGTCACTGATCACAAGCTTCTGGCCTCACATTCTACTGCTCACATTCCTTCCCAACTCAAGGTCGAGTTCCATGAGACAAAGTTAAACAACAGAGAAGAAATCAGCATGCCTTTGAGTGGCCCAACTAATTTGTCCACTAGGATCAAAGATACAGATACATGGTTCATACATTGGTAAGTATCGAAAGACCTTATTTTTATCAATGTATATGCATTTGATTTGATATAACATCATTTCTTTAATATGTTTTAGGTACTATTCAGGCATTTTGCTACTCAATTTCTCTTTTTTGAAGTAGTTTTCAGTTTGATAACAAGAGGCAAGACTACATCCAAATGGTGGCAATTCTTTAGGTTCAACTAGGTATAGGTCTTTTATCTCTTAAGAGTCATCTTGAATTGTCTTTCTGAATTCATTAACCCTTTTGTTCCAACTTCACAGGCTTTATTTAGGCTTTCCAATAGGATTCAGTGATGAATTCGGGCAGCAGAAGCTTTAGTTTCAACAGCTTTCTTGGCTATCATTCTATAATAGCAGCCAACTTCAAATATTCTATCATTATTTTTTATGCCAGCTGCTTTTCGATACCAATTAAGTGCTTGACATTCATCCTTCTTAACATTAATTCTATTGTAATAACAATGCCCAACTTTATATACTCTATTAGTATACCTTATATTTGCAGAGTTTTCATAATATTCAAATGCCTTATGTTCATTCTTTTGGACTTCAAGCCCATTTTGGTAACAATATCCAAGATTATACGCACCATTAGTGTTACCTATATCAGCTGCTTTTTTATAATAAATGAAGGCTTTCTGTTCATTCATTTTGACACCAATCCTATTTTGATAGCAATGCCCAGCATTATGCATGCCAACAGAAGGACTGAACTCCTATGGTTCCAAGTGGCTATCAAAGAGTTCATGTTTGTCCTTTTTAGCTTCACTTCCAGGGGGCTCTTTATTGGGTTTGAATGGATTGTCAGTTTTTTTTTCAACTTCAATTCTATTTTCGTAATGATAACTTTTATCATAGGTAACCTTCTTATTTTTTATATTAATGGCTCTTTAAAAATATTCAAATGTTTTTCATTCATTTTTATCAATTCTGATTTGTTTGTTCTTTTCAACTCCAATACATTCAGTATTTTTAACTCTAATTCCTTGGTTTCTATCCTCTTCGATCTCAGCTTCATCAATGTTCTCAATTTCTGCAGATTTTTGATCATTTTCGAAGGCTTTAGGTTTATTCTTTTTGATTCTGATTTCTTTTTGATAACAATTTCCAACTTCTCTTATTGCATCATCATTCTCTATTTCTGTAGATTTTGGTTTTTTAGATATATTGAGAATAGGCATCCAGGTCCTAAAAGTTTCTAGGTAATTATTGATTAAATTTTCTAACTCATCTTCTAAGCTATCTCTATCTTTAACTTGTTTACTAGAATCTTGTTCTGCCTTATCAACTTCAATTCCATTTTTATGGTGGCATTCTGGATCCTCAACTTCAAGATACAAATTAATTATTTCATCAACTAGGTTCTTCTGGTGACAGGACAGTGTGGAAAAAACTTTCAGACCTAGAATTACTGAAGTCACAGGATCTTTAATCTTATTCACCAAGATGCCATCCTCTTCTTTTCTTTTAGAAACAATAGTAGGCATTCTAATATCTGGTAAGTCAATGCTAGATAGGCTATTTCTTCAACTTTAGAACTTTCTTGATAAGAAACATCTTCTAATATCTTCACTATAATTCCAAGGCCTGTAGAATTTGTCTTTTATTAAGGTTTCGATTTCAAAAGGTTTCGTTGACAATTCTTTGGACTACTCAGGCTTGTCTATCTGTAAGTGTTCAAACAACATTGCACATCTCTCTTTTAATATACTAACTTCCAGGCATTTGTTAACAGCATGTTTCTTGTTTTTGCAATAGGAGTACCAAGTTTCTTTTCGAAGGCTTCTTTGGATTGGAACTTGCTGGGAACAGGTCTTTTTTATCTGAATTTCATTCTTCTTTTGTCTAAATGGTGTTGGGTAAGTTTTATACATTTAATTTTCTTTACTCTGTTTTCAATCTAGCTATTTTACTAAATTGACTTTTCCTATTTTATTGGTATACCATATGCTATCAGGATCCTAAGTTTTATTCCGCAGTCTAGCTGTCTTGGATGTCAAATCTCATAGTCACCACCAAAATGACACTAGCAAACAGCATCAGTGTTTCAGTCCCTTCTCAATCGGATATGTCATATAACCTATGAATGGCTTAGTCGATAATTGGTGATTAGATTTGGCAAGTAGATAGTTTATGATTGTAGGTATTATTATAATGACAGTAGGATATTTATTATTAGGAGATGGATTTTATTTGAATTACGAACACTCTCTATTCTCTTTATAGGGCTTAAAGCCTTTATTATATACTTTTGTTTACATAGGGCATGTTATACATTATATTCATGTTATATCGCTTATACTAATTATAATGTTTATACTAATTATACTGACAATAATGTTAATATCACTGATACTGATTATACTCTCTATACTAATTATAATAATTATACACCATATCCCACTGATATCCATTATCTGCCTGATACATAGTATACTACAGATATAGCATATACTGCGTATACTGCAGGTAAACCTATTTCAGGTATATGATCTACATACCTGTTACCGATCACAAGCTTCTGGCCCCACTATTCTACTGCTCACACCAGTCACATGAAAAGTAAGAGAAATCTTATTTTTCTTACTTTTATTACTTTGGTTACTTCAGATAGAATGATGGTATATGGGGCATTTGGTTTTTAGTTATTATGGTTTGGAAAGGGGTTTTAGGGATGAAGTATTGTAAATAGATAATATAGAGGAAATAATCCTCAAATGTAAATAAAAGTTTTATTATAAATAAAAGGTTTTCCATTCAGGAGGAAAGTAACAAACAATACCCCCAAGTACATACATTTGCTAAAATAAACTTAAAGTATTGAATCTATAAATAAAGTGAAACTATAATTCTACCCAAACTAAAACTATCATTAAAAACTATTGTAATAAACTATCGTTCACCCATTTATAAATCACTAAACTGCATTTTGTTTGTTTACCGCAAGTCACGTGATCGAGCCTTAACACAAGAGAAGGACTTCAACCCAATTCGATATTTCATAACCTCAAGTTAAGGAAGTAGAAAGAAGATAAGAGGAAGCAGAGGTTAATAGAAGAATAGGTTGAAGGAAAGACTTAGAAGAGAAAAGTAGTACTTACCGATGGATAAACCACCCTGCCAAATCTAACATGCCTATTTCAACTTAGCCACTATAGGTTACATAAGGATTGGAGAAAATTAGCAACAGACTTGCTGATTTGCCACACAACAATATTTAGAAAGTTGGCATTTTCTGTCGGCAAGATCATTTTTCTGATTAGGCTAAAATGATATATACTGTCAAATTAAGATCCATACTAGGGGTGGGTCTGGTCGGTCACAATCGGTTATCAGTCAGTTATTGGCAGTCATTGACTCATAACCAACCAACCGCAGTTATTGACTGGTCATATAACCAGTCAAATGACCAGTCCAATAACTGTTTCGTTATTAGCTAGGTTTGTGACAAAAATTTCTATCCATTCAAGATCTATGTGCATATTTAATCAGGATTAGTATCAGTATTAATATGAACTACTACGTATAGTGTAACCACAAAAATAACAATTATAACAATTGCTATATATATAATAGTAATTTTGAATATATCAATTAGCAATATAAGCCACAAAGATGACTGTCAGTTTTTTTGATGGTTATACTGAGGAAGTCCAGTATGATGGTTATTACTGTGGCTGTGTTACTGATAAATTATAAAGTGAAACTTAAGATAAAACAGAATACCATGATGAAAACTAAGTTAGTCATATGTAGAGATGGGCACACGTGGGATTTTTAATATGATCCCAAAATAAGATTATTTGGCCAGTGTTGGGTTCGTAAGACTTCGACTCTGTCACTCCAAAATTCTAAATCTCACATAATGTACGACAAGTAACCTTTTCGAAAAAGGGTGTTAGATTTGGCTTGTGGGCAAGAAAGGCTTTCGGTTACTTTGGGTCAATGAATGCAAGTAGGCTAAGTCACGTGTATAAGGGCTTGAACGAACAATGATTGTTATTGGTGTTTACAGGATTTATGCCAGGTATAGTGTTAGGGTTTTTATTATGAATGTTACAATGTATTGGGGCTTGTTTTTTGATCAAGCAAATGAGAAGAAGAAATAGAAATAAGGAAAGCATTGATTAAAGGCCATAAATTTGAAATACAGAATTTCAATAATTTAACATGATGTTTTGAAAAATATTTGGATCATATAAAAAAGACATATCGTCCCTTAGGGCATTTTGGCCTTTATTTATAATACTCAATTCGTCGCTTACAAATGCGACTTATCTCTTAAAACTAATTAATCTATTTACATGTATTTATTTAATATCTGTAAGGATATGTAATTTATCCTAATATCCTCCCCTTATTCCTTATCTACCCTTCTGGATCCGAAATACCTTTTCTGATCCTAAATGTAACTTATTGCACTTATTGCATTTCGTGCATTTTTCACGTGATC